GATAGTAACATTTGGATTAGGAATTGTTGTAGAAATCAATTGCATTTAGATGTAGGTCTTGCCTTAGATTATGAATAAGAATTATAAAGGATTGATTAGTGTCGAATAGGCTTAACATCGATTAAGTCTCATAGTTGGGTTAGAGTGTGGGACCAGATCAGAGTGTAATCCTCCTCATCTTGGGATGACCAGAAATGGTGGGTCCCGATCAGACAACCGGACGGTATGTCTGGGTCATCGACCATAGTAGATGACCACTACTTCGCTGTTTTAGACGGTCTTGTGAATTACGTTGCTAGCATGGCTTTATAACCCATGGACATAGATGAAAAGGAAAACCATATTCATCAAAATCTCTGAACATTGGTTGCCCTATATGACTTACACTAGCCAAGGACTCCCCTAGTAGGTGTAGTCAAAAAGTTGCTTAGACAGTTCATCCGGTAAGGTAATTCTTCCGAATGATTATCAAATTAGGATCTGTGAGGATCAGTTGGGCTTGGGTAGATTGTCTTAGGACAAGTTATATATTTATACCTGATATATGTCTTGTAGGAATGATATTTTATCAATAAAATGTTATGGACTTGAAAACCTTACGTATCCCACCAGGTTTCCCAAACCTGACCCAATCATTTTATTGCATCACAGGTAGTGGAGCCAAAGTTGAAATTGCCTAGTTAGGATGCTGAGTGGAATAAATGATAGGCTTGCATTAGTTATTTTAGGACCTTTTTATTTCCGTTGCAACGTATTTTCGGATATAAACGAATGACATCCCGAAGGTTTTAATAAAATAACTTTCATTATTTCAAAAATGTTTATTTAACTGGGAACTTTCTTGTATTTGTCAAGTTGCTCGATCAAAATCAGTGTATGCATTAATCGTGATTGTCGAGGATGTTTTTGGAAAGAATAAACCTTTTTTAGGACTTCCTTACAGATAATTCAGAACATGCATAATAGCTTTCCAATGTAAATCAGTTGGGGAGTGTAAGAATTGAATCAATAGTTATACTATATAACTTATGTGTGGTCTTGTAAAATTGAGATATAGTCATCTTCCCACAAGTCTTATATACCTTTCCAAATCTTACAGTAATTTTCCTGTCACAGTTGAATATTTTTAACAACTTCAGTATAAGATGGTTTGACTCCACTTAATCTTGTATCCGCAGGAATATCCAAATACACATGTTCTTTAGTTTACATATAAACTATCTTTTGTTTTAAGCAAGTCAACCCCGAGAAAATAACTAACATGTCTTAAATCTTTGACTGTAAACATCTTATGAAGATATAGTTGTATTTTTTCAATAATTTTTAGATTAGGTATTGTTATTAGAACATCATCAACATAAACCACCAAAGTAATATAATCACTCTATTCTCCTTTAGCAAACAAATAATGATCACGTTAAGTCTGTTTATATCCAAAAATGATGATTTTGTTGTAGAAATTAGTATGTCATTGCTTGGTTTCTTATTTGAAACCATACAGCTATTTATTTAGCCTAAATATTTCACCTTCATATTCTTTGAAATAACCTTATGGTGGAGATAAGTACACTTCTTAATCAAGAAAACCATAAAGAAAAGCATTTTTGATGCCTACTTGATGTAAAGGCCAATCTTTTGATGCATATAATGAGAGTAATATCTCTACTGGTTTTAATCTTTGTCACTAGTAAGAAACTATCAACATAATCAATACCATATATTTGGTTGTAACTTTCACGACGAGTCTCGCTTTGTACCTCTCAGCAGTACCATTAAGGTGTAGTTTGGCCTTATAATCCCATTTTGAACCAATATGTGTCTTGGTTGGTGGTAAAAAAAACATTTTCCATGTGTCATTATGTTCCAATGCATTAAGTTCAATATCCATAGATTTTACCAATTCTAAACTTTCACATGTTTCATCATACAATGTGGTTTCGTTAATTTTGATACAGATGTTAACAAACTTTTGTGGCAAGAAGTAAGTATTCTAGATTGTATATATGGAAATGTTGGTATGAAATGAGGTAATGAGAAATATTCGGGGTTTTGAGTATTACGAGTGGAATCTTCTGAACAATGTGTTACATAATCCTTATGCCAAAAAGGATTTTTCCCTCAACTGGTAACCTCGCTCTTAAGGCTTTTTGTGACTTAAATTGGCTTGGTTTTCGACGCTCCAAGACTAGTTATTTTATCACCTTGGGTGGTGCTCTTATTTTCTAGAAGACGAAGAAACAATATGGCGTCTTCAGGTCATCTGTAGAGGTTGAATATCAAGCCATGACCTCTATTTTCAATGAGATTTTGTGGCTTTGTTGGTTGTTACAAGACCTTGAAGCACCTCAATCTGGTCATACTTATCTTTATTGCGATAATCAAGCAGCTAAACATATTTTCGACAATCCCATATTTGATGCACGCACTAAACATATAAAAAGGATTGCTTTTTGTGCATGAACGCATCGAGTCTAGAGAAATTCAGACTTGCATTGTCAACAGTAATGAACAAGTTGTCGATATCTTCACCAAACCACTTGAGATAGAGAAATTTCGATATCTTCATGGCAAGTTGGGCGTTCGCGGTCTTCATGTTCCAACTTGGAGGGGGGTAAAAGAATTTGATTACAACAACAAAAACTTATACTTATCTTTTTTTAGTGAATATTTAGTCTCCTATTTTATTTAGGTTTCTTTGGCAACTTGAAATATACCTTCTAGCATTATCAATGAGAATTAATTAAATGGTTCAAAACCATTTTCTGATTTCTTTAACTTCCAAAAATCCAACAAGAAGTAAACTAATATCGATGCAATAAACTAATGCAAACCACCAAATTTTTTAACGTGGAAAATCTCCTCAAAACAATGAGTAAAAATCACAAGACCAAGTCCATGAACCAATCCAATAGCAGCAAATTAGAGAATACAAGAGAGTTATTTTCTAGGACAAACTAGATATAAATCACCAGCCAAAAGCCAATGACTAAACAACCCCCGAAGGAAGAATGAACAAGCAGAGTTCCCTGGTAAATAAAACCTATTGTGCGAACATATTCCTTTACAAAACTCTATCGAAGACTCCACTGACGATCTCCCTCATCCATATTAAATAACTATTAGTCTTGAAGCCACACACCAAATTTTAGGATGATCTAATGATTAAAGAATGTGCACTGACACATAAAATTGGACGAAATTTTAAGAACCCTCAAATTAAGCTATGCTTCTCTTCTGACACATAAAATTGGACGAAAGTTTAAGAACCCTCAAATTAAGCTATGCCTTTCTTATGGCTCTCTTTTTGCCTTCTTGCATTCCCTTTTCCGCATAAGAGCAACTCCAACGAACCTGCAAATTTGTGTTTTGTAGGCCCATATTCCTTCAATAGACCTCTGTACTTGTCGGCATTTTGATGTAGCGCTATGGTATCCCAACAAATTGGTGTGAAACTATTATCACCACTAAATCTATATACATATTATAATATTACATATATTCTTTTTTATCCCTTTTATAATAATAAAAGAAAAGATTATTTTTATTCATTTGTTATGGAAGTACTTTAAAAAATATACAAACCACTCGTTTGTTATATATTTTATAGTTTTGATGATTTAACAAAATAAAATAATTAATACAAAATGGTTTTATGAAATAACAAACTTATATATATATATATATATATATATATATATATATATATATATATATATATATATATATCAACCTTAACAAACACAACATAGATAGTAAATGAAAAACATAAATAAAATAAAAATATAGAGATTGTGAAGATCATTTCCCGTTCCTCCAAGGTACTCAAAGTATGGTTATAGTTTTGAGATCGTTGGTCTTGATCTTGAACTCCTTCTCCATGATCTTCTCCGGATCCTTGATATTGATGTGGTTGGTTTTTAGATGCTCGATATTGAGATCCTTAATATTGAAATCCTTATCCGTGAGATCCTTGACCTTGTTCTTCTCGTTAAGACTTTTTTGTTCTTTTTCTCATTATCCGTTTTTGCTCATTTTGAATATAGTCACGAAACTCATGATCAGAGATATTATTCAAATCAATAAATGCATTAATTGAACATTTGTGGGATAAGTATACTAACTCATACAACTAGTTTTTATTTACATTGTATTCGAATATTGAAATAAGTGTAATGTTTTTTTTAGTTATATAATATTTCTAATCTAATTTTAAAATGTAATTTTCATCTTATTTATGTTGTAAAATCAATTAATACTATTATTAATAATAATTAATAAATTATAATAAACTTAGTTAAATAAAATCATATAATTTTAAAAGAAATATTATTTTATAGTTATAATATTAAAATATGTTTATAATGTTAATTTTTAATATGCAATTGGAGTTGAAAATGATTTTTACTATGATTTTTAGTGTTAGACTTGGAGTTGTTCTAAAGAAAAATCTTATTTTAAGACTAGTTGATCCAATATTCAACAAAGCCCAAACTACTTAGCAGTATAGATACAAATAAGCTGGCAACCTAACTAGGAGGGAAGCCCAAAGCCAACACTTTGTGATTTTTTTTTTATTATTTATTTATTTTTATTTTTTTTGCTTTACTTCCATTTTTGACAATTTCTTTAGCTTTTGAAACACCCACATTTTCCACTTAACTATATCGTTTACCAACCGGTTAGTAAGCTATTTTGGAAACTTAGGTCTGAGAGATTATCATTTTGTTGCCCATATTATCGTTTATTTCTTTGGTTCTTCAAATCCTTCCATTCCTTATTTCCTTGATTCATGTCGACATCTCAAAGAATGTCTTTGATGGTACATGCAACATTGTGCCATAACTGCTCGACACTCCTCAAATGGCCAAAAGCCAAAATCGTCTCTAAGATAAAATATATGAAGTCAATAAACAAAATAATTTGAAATATTAAACAAATCTTGTAAATAAGTGAATAATATCTTTTTTTATGTTATATGAAAGAAACTAAGAAATAAGGGAGTTTTGCCCAAATTCTTTTTAAACCCTCCTTGAAATCCATTGGATAGCTCTCTCCATGGCTTCTCTCACACGTGTCCTCCTACCAACCTTTTCACAATTTCCTCATCATTCTTCCACTTCTACCTGCACCAAAATTTATACAATTTCTTCCACAACCCGAAGGAGATTCTCAGTTTTCTCGATGTCGGAATCCAACCGCACCACCGTCCTCGTCACCGGAGCTGGTGGCAGAACTGGTATTAACTTTCATCTACACCACTTTTCCTACTTATCTCCTCAATTCTGCGCCCATAAATTTGCTTTTTTCGCCAAAATATCTTATCATTTTTGACACTTTATATTGAATTGCGTAATTTTTGGTAGAAGTAGACGGCTTTTCGGTTATCTGCTATGGAATTGAGTAGCCTTGCTATCGGTTTTGAGTTTTATAGGGTTCAGCGGTTTTGATAACAGCAGAGTTTCATCTTTGGTTGACTTGTGATTTCCCAACAATTCAAACAGAAAATGTCCGAGTCAAATTAGTTACTGTAGATCTGAATTAAAGTAAATCACTAGCGAACAAAAACAGTACAATCTCACTTAAGTTATCGAATCAATCTGTTCTTTGGAGTTTGTAATCTTCTTGTGTTGTAGAAAGGAAGAAGATCTTAGAGTTTCTATTTCCAAAATCCCAAACGTTTGTTTCATAATTTGAGATGGTATAAGCTTCTGTACATTCTAAATACAATTCTTTCCTGTTTGTATGTAGTTGATTAATTCATTACCAGAAGACTGGATGATTTCATACTAACTTTTGTAGTTCTCAAGTCAAAGGATACACTCACAATCTTATTCTTGATTGACTTATGCATCCATTTCATCTTTGTTTGAATGAAACTCAAGTGTTAGCTCCTTTAATGGTGTGTACATGTATTACTTGTTTCATTTTGTAGGTCAAATAGTTTATAAAAAGCTGAAGGAGAGATCAACCGAGTATATTGCAAGAGGTTTGGTTAGAACTGAAGAAAGCAAGGAGAAAATTGGTGGAGAAGATGATGTTTTCATTGGTGATATAAGAAATACCGAAACTATCCTTCCTGCTATTCAAGGAATCGATGCTCTTGTAATTCTAACAAGTGCAGTCCCTAAAATGAAACCTGGTTTTGATCCAACTAAAGGTGGAAGACCTGAATTCTATTTTGAAGAAGGATCAAACCCTGAACAAGTATTAATTACTTTAATACCCTTACATTCAAATAGTTGTTTCTTAACTAGTTACTATATAAATTATTAAACTTGTTATGTTTTAGGTTGATTGGGAAGGGCAGAAAAATCAGATAGATGCTGGTAAGGGTCTTTTGGTCTTTCCACTTATTACCTATTTTTATATTTTTGGTTTGTGTTTATTTAATTTTGGTGAATCTTTATAAATTATACAGCTAAAGCTGCTGGAGTGAAGCAAATTGTTCTTGTGGGGTCCATGGGTGGAACAAATATTAACCACCCTTTAAACAGCTTGGGAAATGGGAATATACTGGTTTGTTTAATTTTTTTTTTATTTAAAGATAACAGTTGTAGTGTCTGTATAATTAATATTAAATAAAAACTTTTTTCATCTGTGATTATTGGTTGCAGGTGTGGAAGAGAAAAGCTGAACAGTATCTAGCAGACTCTGGCCTTCCATACACAATTATAAGGTTATAATTGGAATTACAGTTAAAATTTTTAACTAACTAAATTAACTGTCACAAATGATGATGATGATGATGATGATGATGATGATGTAGGGCTGGGGGATTGCAAGACAAGGAAGGTGGGGTCCGCGAGCTGCTTATTGGGAAAGATGATGAGCTTCTTGAGACTGAAACCAAAACCATTGCAAGACCAGATGTGGCTGAAGTCTGTATTCAGGTACAGATGTACATCCATTTGTGTTGTGAAAAATGACGTTTTTGCCCTTTGGGACATGTCTTGTGACATTTTTGTAAATGTAGGCATTGCAATTTGAGGAGGCGAAATTTAAGGCGTTTGATCTTGCATCCAAACCTGAGGGAAGTGGGACCCCAACAAAAGATTTCAAGGCTTTATTTTCACAAGTCAATACTCGGTTTTAAGCTACATACATACATGTCTTGCCATTTGTGCAATGACAGGAATGTTGATTATAAGAATCAATGATGAGTTGTAATAATTTCGGATATTTTCAAATTAGAATTATTCGAGAATTTGAATTTGAGAATTATGATATTTGAGATGGTAAAAGGTTGTGGAAGGCATTTCGAGACTGAAGTTTATATTTTGGTGTTTGTGTATTTGTGTATGTGCTTCTAAGTACTATGCTATACAATTCAATCACAAAGTAGAGGGAGCATCCAAATTGGCTTTTCAACCCATAAATAGTGCTTCCCTTTCCCTAAATTAGTTTAAATTAACTACCAGTCAATTTTATTCACTGTAGAGAGATTAACCCACTTGTAGGATGAGTTAGGAATTATATACTCTACTTTTATGGATGTTGAAGATTGTACTAAGAGCATATGCTAAGAAAGTGTTAGATATCGAAGACGTTATTATAATAAGAAATCTAAGGAGGTGTTTGGATTGTGTTTCAAAATAAAACACTTTTTGGTAAAAGTATTTATTAGCATATGTGTTACAAAAAAAATTAAAAATGTTTGGATTAATTTATGTGACTGCAAAAGGCTATTAGTTATAACTTATAACCATTTTTTGTGTTTGACAAAACTACTTGTAGTTGTAAAATGATCAAATAGGAGAAGGAAAATAGATTAAGTAGTTGTAAAATGATCAATAGGGGAAGGAAAGTGTTTGACAAAACTACTTGTAGTTTCATTAAGGGTACTATGTTCTCTTTATTTCAAAACTCAAAAGTCATAAAAAGTCAATAGAAAATGACTTCTAAAAACTGCTTATTAGAGGTGGGGAAAAAGCTATTTTCATTACCTAAACAATCAATTTAACTTATTACTCAATTTAACTTATTGACTTTCAACAAGTCATATCGAAACACCCCCTAAGTGTTATTGAAGTCCTATCACAATGAGTATTACGTGGGGCGATGATTTCTTTTCCATGTTTAGGTACATTTAGTGTGCTTATTTGACATACCAAATGACAAAGGCACCAAGCCTTATTTTTAAGGAGGCATGGAGAAAGAGAAACAAAAAGCATATCGAGTTTCTCATCTAAAAAGATGGAGAAGAAGCAAATCAAACATTTTACACATCGTTTTCAGGGTCAAATACACCTATATAACGATGTTATATTAGGAGAATGTTTTTTTAATCCTTTGGTCATTAAACTCAGGAAAATGTGAGATTTTGTTTTGAAAAAAAAACTTGTAGATTTAATGCTAATAGAGAAAAATAAACAAAAAAAATTGAGAAAATATTAGGTTTTAATTGGTAAAATATTTTTTTTGTCTGATAAGGTAGCTAATAAAATAATAATAATAATAACTAATTGATAAGTTAGATGATAAGACTAAATATCATTGTCAGATAATTGATTGTTCGGTTGGTGAAAAAACATTAAAAAAAATCACAAGTTTTCCAAAGATCCACAGTATATTTCCCCATTTCAAACATTATTCGGACCTTTTTTTATTAATTTTTTTTCCTAATGTTGGATAAATATAATAAATATATGATTTTTTAATAGAATTTAATTTTAAAAAACAAATAAAACTATTTTTAATTAGATTACTTTCTTATCTTTTATGTGTACTGTAAAAAATTATCAAAAATTATAATATTTTTCCCCTATAAATAGTCTATAAAAAATATATAAAACAATTATCAAAATTATAATTTTTTTCCCTATAAAAGGATCCATATCCTCGAAAAAGAAGTGGAATGGACAAGAAAGATATTGAAAACAAAACTCATAAGCATTATGAGGCAAATGAGAACTGCAAGTTTAACTACGCAAATGTTTTTGATGATCAAGTTTTTGAATACTTTACCGAATGAAATGAAAGTCTGTCTAGTTACATGGTCAACAACTTCATGATAGAGACACTCACATCGCTCAAATAACGATTTAATTGAGTACATATAGAAAAAAAAAATTAACACGTATGAACAAAATATATTTTGTACCTTCTGTAATTTTATATTTCATGTTACATTTGTAAAATGATATTTATATACAATTAAAAACATTAGTTTATATTCTACGAAACATTATTAAAATAAAGTTTAGATTTTATCATATTAAAGGTAACAAAGAGTTTTCCAATCATTTGAACCCTAATAAGGGAATAAAGTTATGTTTAAAAAATAAAATTTCATTTTATCCTTATACACAAATCGTTTTAGGCTGAGCCTTTTAAAGAAAATTTTAATTTTTAATCGGAGCTGTAAAGATTATCTAGATCTACCATGTCAATCTCAAATAGTCATTGTATAAGCGAAAAAATATCTTACAATTAGTCATAATGATAATTCTATATGATATATTGTTTTCAACTGATATACAAATTATTAAATTAATGTATTGTTTTCTAACTTTGTAACATTACATATAATTTAGTGCATATAAAAAAAACTAATCTCAAATTACTTTTTGAAAAATTAGAATCTAAATCAATGATCTAACCAACTACATCGGGATAAGCTATAAAAATATAAAATCCTCAAACACAACGCAACGTGTACACTTTCCTCTCATTCACCTTTGCTGGTGGTTCTTGGATTCTTGATGGAGCACTCGAATTTTCTTGAAATCGCAAGGATGATGACGATGGTGGCGGCAGCGGTAGCGGGGTGGCGACAGTGGTGGCGATAATGACGACAATTATGGTGGTGGGGGTGGTAGTGGTGGGGGTGGTGTGACGATGGTGACGGGGTGGTGGTGGTGACTGTGGCGGTGACGGGGTAGTGGTGGATGTGATGGTAGGTCGGAATTTATGGTAGTGGTGTGTGTATGTGTGTGTGTGGTGGTGTGTGTATGTATTTGTGGGGGTGGGGTGGGGGTAGGTAAAGGTGTGTGGGGTGGGGTGGGGTGGGTATGTTTATATTTTAGAAATTTTTTGGAATTAGAAAAATATAGAAAACAATGATTATCGGTTTCCTAAAATTTTTTAAGTTCTTTGTAATTTTTGAAAACGGAAAATTTTCATTTTCCGTGAAAAATTTAGAAAAAATTGTTGAACTAAACATTTTTTCAAAATTCTCAGGTTGCATTTAGTTACGGAAAAACAGTTTTCGTTTTTCGTTTTCCCTTTTCAGTTTTTGTTTTCCGTTTTCAGTTTTCATTGGAAAATTTAGAAAACGCGTTTAGTTAAAACTTATTTATTTTTCATTTTCAGTTTTAGAAAATTAGAAAACGTGTTTAGATTTGTATTTTTCTATCCGTTTTTATTTTTAGAAAACGGTAGTGGTGGTAGGGTGGGGGTGGGGGGCGACGGCGGGGGGCAGTGGTGGTGTCGATGATGGCGATGGTGGTGGTGGTGGCGGCGGCAGTGGGGTGGGAGCGGTGGTAGTTATGACAAGCGGTGGTGGTGGCGGCGGCAATTCTGGCAGTGGCGGTGACGGTGGTGGCAGCGGCGGTGGTGGTGCTGGTGATGGTAGGTTGGTGATTGTGGTAGTGGTGTTGGGTGGGTGGGTGTGTGTGTGTGTGGGGGGGGGGGGTTATTTGTGGGGGTGGAGTTGGGGGGGGATGTGTATGTTTGTGGGAGGGGTAGGGTGGTTGTGTGTTTGTGGGGTGTATGTGTTGTTGTGTGTGTGTGTTTTTTTGTGGGGGTGGGTGTGTATGTATGTGTGTTTGTGGGTGTGTGTGTGTGTTTGTGGGTGTGGGTGTGTGTGTGTTTGTATGGGTGGGGGTGGGGTGCGGATGGGTGTGGGTGTGCGTGTGTGTGTGTGTTTGTATGTGTGTGTGTGCTTGTGGGGGTTGGCTTGGGAGTGGGTGGGTGTGGGTAGGTAGGTTAGGGGTATGGTGGGTCGGGGGTGTTAATACGGGGGTAGGTAGAGGTAGGTGGGGTAGGAACGAGTGTTTTTATATTTTAGAAAAATTTTGGAATTAGAAAAATATTTAAAGCAATAATTATCAGGTTTTCAAAAATTTCAAACTTCTTTGTAATTTTAGAAAACATAAAATTTTCATTTTCCGTGAAAAATTTAGAAAAATAAACGAACTAAACGCGTTTTTTAAATTCTCATTTTTTTGGAAAATTTTTCTGGAAAACGACCCATTTCCGCAACTAAACGCACCCTCCTTTTTCTTGGAAATTTTTTTCAGAAAACAATCTATTTTTTCGTAACTAAATATACCCTTAGGGTTTAATGGGTTTTAAACACATTGATTACACGTTTCGTGTTCTTTCTATTGTATCAACTACTGTTCATTTTGTGACATCCCCATTTTCACGGCCAGAAAAGACCGATTTTGTTTATGCTTTATAAAAATCAGAGTACTTCTTTTAATAAAAATGTTGCGGAATTTGTTCCCAGAAAAACATGATAAATACGTTATCAAAGCATTTCCGAAGAAATGTAATTTTTATTCATTTTAAAACATTTGGGATGTCATTGTCAATACAGAAACATAAGCATAAACAGAACTTACATTCATTATCACTAGTGATTTATATCTCCTTAATCTCTCAGTGTAATGTAACTTAATATCGACACCGGTGATACAAATAAGCTTGAGTGGGTCAGGTTGGGAAACCTGGTGAGTACATAGAGTTTTCAACCCACAATAATATAATTATTATGTTTAATCTTCAAACAATTAATCAACCCAATTACTCATCCTCATTATCTTCTTTACTCTTAAGGATCTACCCTAAGAATCAACTATTCCTCGTTCATTTATTCCTAAGGATCATCCTAAGGAATTGGCACGAAGTCCATCATTGCCAAGGTTTATAGATTACAACTGGTGAACACGTAGTCCAAAACATCTGGTGAACACTTAGTTCTAAAATACCTAGTGAACACACTTAGTTCAAAAATATCTAGTGAACACACTCAGTTCAAAAATACCTAGTGAACACACTCAGTTCAAAAATACCTAGTGAACACACTCAGTTCAAAAATACCTAGTGAACACACTCAGTTCAAAAATACTAAGTGAACACACTCAGTTCAAAAATATCTAGTGAACACACTCAGTTCAAAAATATCTAGTGAGCACCTAGTTCAGAAACACCTACAGGTTACGAGCCTGCTATCGTTCCATTGGACTATCTAGTACAGTTTGTGTCCGTCATCTATACCCCACTAGATGACCGGATCACTGTCAACATTGATGTCTTTCATCGTGTTATCACACAGCAACTATTTCATCTACCCATGTTTTACCCAACACATTTTGTAGATATAAAATACATATACAGTTTAAATCATTTAAAACATGTATAAAAATTGTTCATCCAGCATAGATAGCAAGTATATAGATAATATTCACACATAGCACGTAATTTATATTAAATACTTCATATCTATGTTTAAGATGAAAGTAACTATGCACTCACCTGATTAGGTGGTGACTCGGTACTCGGACAGCACTTCGTTACTCTTAACACAATTTTCCTCGGACAAAACCTAGTATCATTACCACTAGAGTTTAGTCTAATATTCACCGAGACAAATTAATAGTCTAACTATTATTATTATTATATAAGCGTTAAACGGTACTTATATAACCCATAATAATAGCCCAAGTACTTATTATAAGGTCCTAATAGCATTACTATATTAAAACATAAGCTATACTAAAGATAGGTTAGGCGTAGCTCACTTACAGCGGGTTTTTCTCAAAACCGGGTTTCGCTGGAGCAGCGTTTCTGAGCCGAAAGGATCTTTTCTCGGGACTCCGGGAGCCTCGGGGCTTCCTTCGGGTGCTAGGGGGTTTACCTAGACTTTAGGGGGGGTTTGGGGCTTTAGAGAGAGAAACTAGAGAGAGAAAGAAGAGTTTGGATGGTGTGAAGAATGAGGGAACCCGGCACCTCTATTTATAGGGTGAATTCCTGATCGACTCGCCGAGTCGAAGTACCGATTCGCCGAGTCCATGCCACATGTCAGGTTTCTGGTGGCCATACGTGTGTGGCCTGTATTGTGCCACGTCACCCCTTTTGCAGCAGCACCCTACCGACTTCTAAACCCTGTAACTTTCGCATACGAGCTCCGTTTTCGACGTTCTTTATATCCACGCGTAGGTAAACGCAAGATCTACAAATTTCATTTAGACTCTGTCGGCTAATTCTCGACCGATCTTAAATTGAACAGTAGGAGGAGATTAAACTGTTAAATGACCGCGAAGAATTCGTAACTCCTTCATACGGACTCCGTTTTCGTCTGTCTTTTTACCGTTGAGTTCCTATTGATGAGATCTTAAACTCTCATTTAGGTCGCGTAGGCCAAAAACCACTCGAACTAAAATTCGAGTTTCGGGTCGTACACTGCTATGCCAAATCTTAGAAAATTCATAACTTCCTCATACGAAGTTAGATTTGGGCGTTCTTTTTTTTGTATGTTCTCGGTTTAACGTATTCTACAACTTTTGTTTAGATCACTAAGGCTAAAATTCGCTCTATCGTAAATTCACTATTTACGCTTCCCGGTGCCGTGCCGGTTTTGCCGTAAAACTTCGACGGGCCATAACTTCTTCGTTATACCTCGGATTTCGGCGTTCTTTATATGTACAGAACCCTTGAGACATATTCTACAACTTGGTTAAGATTATTTATTCTAAATAATCTTTTGTCGAAAAGTCGTTTTCGACCCCTATTATCTCTAAATTGACTAACCCGGATCTACGGGCGTTACACATTTCATCATCCTTCTTTGTTGTCCTCACACTGAACTTTTTGTTAGTATGTGTGACATATAAATAGGGATGAGCATTAGAACCGTCGGAACCGGAACCGTAATTGGTAACAAGTTCCGGTTACCGGTTCTCCATTTTTATAAAAATCGGTCCCGGTTTGACATTTTTTTTTTTCGTTTTTTAAAATGCGCATAACTCACTCGTATGAAGTCGGATTTAGTTGATTTTTTTCCAACATATAATTTGGAATTTGTAATTCATTTTTGACTCTGCAAACATGTATTTTGGTTAGATATTGAATCAGACACATGCCCCGGAATAAAAAATATTGATGCTGCGTTTTTTCTATTTCAGCATTTTTTTTGTTTTTTTTTAATTTGTTCCGTTTTTTAAATGTGCATAACTCATTCATATGACGTCGGAATTACTTCATTTTTTTTTCCAACATGTAATTTGGTGTTTGTACTTCATTTTAGACTGTACAAACACATATTTTGGTTAGATATTGAATTCGCAATAGACCCCGGAAGACATCATATCAATGCTGCGTATTTTTTGATTCAACCTTTTTTGTTTTTGGAATCTGTCCCGCTTTTAAAATGCGCATAACTCACTCATATGAAGTCGGAATTACTTGATTCTTTTTTCATCATGTAATTTAGAGTTTGTACTTCAATTTAGAGTGTAAAAAGTCATAATTTGGTTAAATATTGAATTATTTACAAGCTCCGAAAAATAACATATCGTCTACAACATTTCAACCGGTTCTAATTTGAAAAATAACCGGAAAACCGGGACCGGGACCGGAACCGGAACCGGCGCTAGAACCGGCGGTCCGGTTCCCGGTTCTTATGATATAGGAAAACTGGTTCCGGTTTCGAACCGGTCCGGTTCTAAAGTTCATCCCTACATATAAATTGTTGTCTTTCATGGTTAAGTTTAGGATTTTGTCTTTTAGGTTTAGACACCAAACTCTAAATAAAGTTTAAGCCATTTAATACTTAGAAGCAAGTTATGGTCAAATGAAAATTGTCGAACTCATATCATAGTAATTCTTATATTCAATTTCAATCTAATTAAATGTTTTATGGTTTGTTTATGTAGGCTCATGTAGAATGTGAGTGAAAGTGAAACCACTAAAAGGCATTATACTATGATCTTGAAACTACTAAATAAAGACATTTTCTATTTTATGTTTTCATTACCAATTTAAATCTTAAAAAAATCTAATATCTTTCTGCCTTTTGTTTTTATACATATTCCTACTCATATAGAAGGATGACATGGCATCTATTAATTCTTTTTCTTAATTATCTTTTTAAATTTTGACACTTGTCTTGATCTTATCAGTAAGAATATAGATATATAGATAAGAACAAAACGGAGGATATTTGATTTCTCTTAAATCTTTTAGACAAGTTCGAACTTTTTGGGTTTAGATATTCGTAAATATAGTCAATTTTAAAAGGGGGTGTTAAATCAAAACAACAACGGACCTTTCATAAAATAGCCACACATTACACTTTTGAGCCAGATTTCTTTTGTTTTTATACAAATTTTCAATCTTTCTTTCAAAAGTTTTTCCAACGCCTTCTTTTTATCAACACATTTATCCCATATTTCATTTTTTCCCTTTTTATAAATTTGGTCCTTTTTTAACACATTTATCTTCCTTTTTATAAATTTGGTCCTAACATTTTGTATAACTTTCTCCCAACTTTTTAACATTTTTTTATTTGTTGTTTTTACGATTTTTCCGTTTTTATATCATTGTTTCTAATGAGGTTTTTTTGTGATGCATTTTCAAAAATTAGTTTTTATTACAAAATAGTTTTCGACATTTTTTAGATATTCGATTTCATGCATGTAGATTTGTATAAACATATATAATTTCATTTTTTATATTATTGTTCCACAAAAAAAAAATGCACTGTGATGCATAACTAAATCTTTTTTTTTTTGTAATTATGTTTTTGCTATTATATATACATGACTTTCGCCAACTTTTTAACTATTGTTAAGTATGTTAAAAATCAGATAAGGTTTGCATTTTTTACGATTTTGGTCAAACTTTCATTTTTTTTTTTTTTTATGAATTTGGTCTAAACATTTTTTTTATAGGAAAACATATCTTTACAACTTTGTTGTTCAAAGGATTAACAAACTACCTTTTCTTTTTTTACAAAATTATGACTTGTTTTATAATTTTGTGTTTCACAAGTTCTTTTTTTTTTACACGGTTTGTTTTTTAAAACAAATCAATTTTTACAACTTCTGTAGATTTTTATGCAAGTTTTTTTGAAGATTTTTTTTTTATACGGATTGATTTTTATGTCTGTTTTCTTTCACCCTTTTGGTTACAAATTCATTTTCCCAAAAAGTTTATATACTTTGTTTCATATATGTTCGGCCGTAAAAACATGTAAATTTTTAGTTTTATACATATTCATTTTTACAAACCAAAAATACATATAAAATCATTTTGCAAAACATCCTAGTGCATCGCAAGGTGCAAAACCTGGTGCATAATCACTGTCGTTATTCCAAGAAGGATTAAAGGAAATACAAGGACGCTCAAAGAATCTGCCTCAACCTGAAAAAATAAGAAACAAAATCATAGTTATCCTACAATCTTTTCAACACTTTAAACTTAGATGGAAAATCTGCAAGCAGCTTTAACAATGTCATTAAAAACATGGAAAAGTTAACAAATCAGAAGTAAATACTAATAACATCTTAAATGCAAAGTGCAAACACATGTGCATTCTCTCATGAGCCAAGCAAACAATTCTTAAATGATTATAGCCAATATTAAAATAACAAAAATATGTATTCAAAGTTTGAAGAAAGAAAATATACCTGAAACCTTCAAGCCAACAAAACTCTTCACTTGCAACAAACAACCAAAACCTTTCAAGATTCATCCAAGGGCTATTTTCAATGATAGAGAATGAAGAGGGCATTCACGTCTTTTCCACAATTGACAGATCAACATCGAGTCTTCATAATTGTACCACCTTTTTAGGTGGCACAAAAGGCTGTAGGTAGGTTTTGTCCCATCGACATATTGACATCAGTCTCGGTCCAATACATGTCAAACACAGTACAACCTGTTCAAATCTGTCATGTCTTGTCATGTCCTATAAAAAGGTGTCACACCACCTTTAACCTTTTTTACCCACCATAGAAAGGAACACCTCTTTTTCCTTGCAAAGATAAACAAGCTCATGTGTGGGCCCACCATGCCCTCTAAAACCATCAACCTCCTCCTCAGACAAACATTCCATTCCTACACATACCCTCAACACAAAACAATTCACTTTCGGGGTTCTACGGAACGGAGGCATAAACGTAAATTCTCTCACCTTCTCACAACCTTCAAATTGTTTCAAATCAACATACACATACTCCCTCAACTTCTCATACATTGTCATTTTTACCCATAACTTAGTCTCAATTGCTACATTATGTAACCTAATCTTTAATGGTATTCCAACAGGTAGTCCAGCCACAAAGGGAATCGGATTTAACCAGTCATTGTATTTGTATTTGTATTTGTCCCCAACATCAACTTCTGCATCCATGTATTTTATGTTTTTCTGGAATATAATTTCTTTTAAGGAAAAAAACTCTAGTTTTTTTATTAAAGATTCATTGAATATAGACGATTTTAGTGTAGAGGCGACATGTGTCAGCTCCTGGATATGTAGCTCCTCTTCTTTACTCAACCCGATGAACCTGTGTTGTAATTCTCGGAGTTTATTTTCCAGTTTTTGCAAAATGTACCCCAAGTTTCCTGATTCTTTACATATTAAGTCCATTGGGCACATAACATGCCACCATACTTTTGAAAGTAGTTTCACCACATCAAGATATTGTGAAGTAAATGTTAAATGAGAACTGGATTGACATGATGGATCAGTGATAAATGTTGCTAGTTCTTCCTTCCAACTCCTGCATGAATTGGATATAATTAAAATGGATATCATAGTATAGTAATGTACACTTTTGGTCCCTGGACTATATCGATTTTTTTTCATATGGTCCAAAAAGGAATCTTTTTGTCTTTTTTGTCCTTGATTTACCGTTTCATAACACTTTTAGTCCAAAAAAGAATCATTTAGTTCATCAAATGTCAAGTTAACATCCCATCTTTATAAATTAATGAAAACAGAGAAGATGAAGACGGCAATGGCAAAATGGTCATTTTCATATGTTTTAGTCCAAAAAAGAATCCTTTAGTCTTTTTATACCTACTTCACAGTTCAGACTTCTGGAAAACTTTTAGTCCACGTTTCATCTAATAAGTTAGCAACCCAGCTGTTACTTTAATGAAAACAGAGAAGTCAAGGGTAAAATGGTCATTTTCAGGTTTCATAAACTTAACCTTGGCTGTGAGCCAGGGACTAAATGTGTTATGAAACAGTGAATTAGGGACGAAAAAAGCAAAAAAGATTCATTCTTGGACCATATCCAAAATAGCTGATATAGCATAGGAACCAAAAGTGCAAATATTGCAGCTTATAAATTATGAAATTATAATAAATAAACTAACCTTAGTGTTGTAAGCACTTCATGTATGCATCCAAACTTCATCAAAGGCCATACTTGAACAATATTAGCAAGGATAAACTTAATATAATTATCTGAATTATCATGCGTTTCAAAATCACCATCATTATTATTATGCACCATGTCTAATCTGACACTGACAGGACACGTTATTTGACTATCTATCTTAGTTGCCACATCATCTTCAACCATCTTGTCTTCCCCTTTCATCAACTCTATAGGGTGGGGTCCACTTGATCTACTACAATGTGACAAATAAGCCAAAAGTGTGTCCTGATTCATCACTCCAGTCAAGCTTCTAGATATTCTTCCAAGAATTGTAACAGCATAAGAAAATATTATTGATGGAATGCTATCCAAATCCAACTGTTGTTGCTTTCCATGAGAGAGTGGAACAGATATGGCCAATACAAGGTGTGCAGCAGTTTTTGAACTATTGAAATCCCAATTGCATGAAGAAGAAGGGTCCATCTAAAGAATGTATAGAGTGTTTATACTTTATATCAGTTTTGAGATAAAAATAAATATTGTAAAAAAAAAAAAAAAAAAAAACTAACTAAATTCTCAACCTCTGGAAAGAATTCTTTAATGATGCTAATAGCAAAACTTCCATGATTTCGACCAATATCAAATACAAGAGAAAGAACATCTATCTCATCCTGAAAAAAAGTAGAGTCAAAATCATAGTCAACATCACACATTCTTTACCAATATCATTAAAAAAAAGAACATGGAAAACTTTACATGAAACTCACTTGTGGATATTTCTCTAGACTCTGTATGAGGCTATCAACAACTAGTTTAAACAGAATCAGATCATGGAGTTTGGTTAATCGAAGTACTTTCCTTGCTGTAAATCTTATTGATGAGTTCATGTCGATTAGAGCACCAAGGAACTGTAAAAGTAAACAATTAATAGTTTAATTCAATATAATTAAAAGTTAAAACATGTTTAATTGGATTAATAAGAAACTTACCATGTGCATGTGCATTTCTTGCACTTTTAAATGGCCATAAACTGCCATATGATGCATGGTTTCAAGAGCTTGTAATCTTACAACAACTGAATCATCATTCAGCACATCCATTAACAAACCTAAGGCTCCAGTAGCAAAGTCAGCAGAAAGAATAGCAGGCATCCTCATGGAATAACATGCACAGCTTCTTACCTTCAAACAAGGCAGACTCATTTAATGCAAGAAATAGCAATGTACTTTCATTTCTTCCTAATATAGTTACCTCATGCAAGAGATAAAATGGAAGTAGGATGCTTTAATACACAAATAAACGAATGTATGTTGCTATATGTTGGAGTTACCTCATGGAATTCATCCTCCAATCCATGTATAAAAGCTCCAGCAGCAGTTGAAGCTGGTAAATTGGAATGCTTTCTTGAGAGTTGACCATGTAATGTCTTTTCTTTGGTGATTGGCAAGACTTTCTTGGAGAGGGTTTGCATCAGAATATACTCAGATGCAATTCCTAACTTCCCAAGAGCATTAAAAGCTTCAATTTTGACATTCATACTCATGTCCCTCACCATTGAACAGAGCTGCAGATACATTTGATGTAAAAGATGATGGGAAAATGGGATAAACACCAGAAAGTTGGACAATAGCTCATTCAAGTTAGGATTAAAGGCAAGAAATAGCAATATACTTTCATTTATTTGTTTATTAAAGCATGCTACTTCAATTTCTTGTTATTATAACCTGTAATTTGAATAGTTTATCCAATTATAGCAATTTCATCCTACTACAATACTATTTTCACCTCTATAACTTGGTAAATTTTGTAAAGTATAATGTCCTAATGAGAAAAAAAAATGGAAGTATAATGCTATAACTGGGCAGATTTTTCAGAGTGCAATGCATTAATAAGAAAAATATTGAAAGTAGAATATTGTTAGCACTTCAAGTTATCGTTCTTTTCTGTGGTTCTTGTAGGATTGTAGACATAAATCATTCCTATAGAGCTAGAAAAGGTCATATGATAAACAAGAAGATTAATTTATCTAGGTCAAATATGCTTTTTAGCTTAAATTTTCAAATAAAACTTAGTCTTTTTTCAATATTAGAAAGAAGCTGCATTATACATTCTGGAAATGTAACACCCTCAGTTTTCAGAATAATAAAATAATACCTTAAATTAAGCTTCTTGATGTTATATCCTAAGTGCAAGGCATGCCTTGTATCAAATTTATTGGTTGTATTTTAAATGTTATGAGCTTTAGAAGACAAAAGAAGTTAGAAGGTTAGAATTATAATTATTATCATCCAACATAGAGTATTGGTGATTCATCACCTTCATATATGCAAGTGCCAACCATTACAGCCAATTCAGAGTGAAAACATGGCTAGAAAAAAGGGGGGAAACATCTTTTAACATAAAAGAGTCGGTCAAATAGGAGAACATCTATGAGTTCAAGAATGAAAACCAGTGATGTGTTTATGGTTTCAGCTAAAGCTAAGTACAGAAAATGAGTCAAGCCTTTAAAGTAAGTTTTCATGAGTGATTTTTATGTTTCTGATATATGATAATCTTAAATTCTTAATATTGAAAATTTATGATGTCAAGAATCGAAACCTGGGAATGGTGTATCCCTCTTGGGATTATATCTAAATTACAAATGATAAGGTTTGATTGATACCTGTACATACAATGAATCTGACCAATCTCTTTTGCTTTTGCCCTCACTATTTGCCACTAGAAATTTCCCCCATTCACTTACCTGCCACACCAAAATGATTAAAATCCATCTGCAATATCAATTCAATAAACAGAAACTGTCAATACATTACCATATGAACAGCTGAGCATCTCACGCATTCCTCAGTATCAAACAAGAGCTCAACAGCACGAAGGTAACATCCTTCAATCATTCCACGATCTTCAACGACAATGCACTTGCACAAACCAATCAAACCATCCAAAGCAGCCTTCCTCACGTAAGGATACGGATCCTTAGTGAACCCTGTCAACACCGTGAGCAGAAGCGACGGCCGGACATTAAATATCTCCACATCCGATAGCAGCCGTTGACGCACATGCACACACGAACCGAAGCAGAGAGATAAAAACAATCCCTCGGTCCTCTCTGAAAACGCGGAAACCAAGTTGGACGCGGAAGCGGGATATATGGAACAGAGGTAGAGAGTGCAAGTCCGGCGGCACGTGGGGTAATGTTGGGGCAGTGAAGGGATAGAGAGTGGAGTGTGGTGGTGATGCGGGGGGAGAAATGGCGGCGGACGATGGAGATTTCACAGAGGAGGGTGATGACATGGAGATGGTAGAATTGAGGGTTTGATGCTGCTACTGCTGTTGATAGGGTTTCTAGGTTTTGGAGGATGGAAGAGATTGTCTGATCGGAGGTTGAGGGGTTTACAAGGAGAGTTCTAGCGATAGAGAAGGGTTTTAGAGATATTTTTGTTTGGTTTTTGCAAATTTGTCCGAAATTCGAGAGAAGCTTTTGCTCCATATTGATGGAGTCTTGGTTGAGCCCCAAGAAGCTCTGCAACGCAAAGGGTATTGATTCATATTTGGTTTGATATAAGAAATTTACAAAATTACACAAATGACCCGATTGGCAGAAAAACACGTAAGTACTCAACAAAACTCCAAAAGCCTTAGGCATAAAAAAAACCTAAGGCTATACGGTGTGGGGTGCGGTTCCAAACCGCAGTGCAGCCACGTGGACCACGAACACCGCTCCCAAGGTGCGGTTTTCTGCGGTCAAAACCGCAGTGCGGCTAGAAACAACCGCGCAATCTGATTGGATGTTCCACCTTTTGACCGTTGACGGTCCTTTGCATCCGGATTTATTTTTTTTATTTTTTTTTGCCTTTCTTTCCTATATATACATATTCAATTCATTTGTTTTTAACCACAATACAACCTCTTCTCTCTCTCAAAATTTAAAAAAAACATCACCACTCTCTCAAAAATGTCATCTTCTTCATATTCTGAAGAATTTCAGACTATTTTTGATACCGCTGTTGCGTGTGTTCAAATGGCGGAACAAACATATGATGTTTTATGCAACAACGCAGCTGCAAGTTCTCAACGGAGAACACGAAGATATATTTGCAGAAATCGTGAAGAAGTCAACCAACGTTTGGTGCAAGACTATTTTGAAGAGAATGCCACTTATCAAGGGTATTATTTTCGTAGGCGCTTCAGAATGTTTAAAGGTTTATACGAACGTATAGTTGAAGATGTAACGAGGGAGTGTAGTTTTCTTCAACAAGGCTACAATGCTAGAGGTACACCCGGTTTCACTTACTTACAAAAATGCACGGCCGCTGTGACAACTAGGAAATTCTATATCCTTGTAACTATAACAATGATAGCAACTGTAACCAAAATTTTGAAAGCATGCTTGGTGTTTATTCAATGACAACAAATTTCATCAAAAACCCTATATAAACACTTCAATTGGTCAATGAAAGATTGGAAACCCTAAAATTTCCTGTTTAAGTCCAATGTGGACTAGGATTTCCTTATTGGGCCTAATGGACCAATAAGTTTCCAATTTGACTATTTTGGGGCTTAGAACCCTTAAATGGGCTCTAATTGGACCCACTTTCATGAAACTAACATTTTGGGCCATAATGGATCCAAAATGAATTGGTTTATCTTAATAAGCCTTATTGGGCCATAACTAACCTAATTAGCCTTAATGGGCCATAAATCCATTCCTTTATACAATTTGGGCCGTAAATCAATTAGCCGAAAACTTTCTCTATGGGCCTTAAAAATCTCGAACCAAGATTTGAAGTGGGCCAAGTTAATCCATTTATTCTTCCTTTAGCCCATTCTCGGCCATATGTATATATAATATATATATATATAATATATATATAATATATATAAAGAGAAAGATATGGATTAAGGAGAAGTAGACACCTAATTTTTATCTCTTGGATTTCCATGCAAGTTCCCATATCTCCAAGAAACTATCACTTCAAGCTTCTCTCTCTTCTTCCCTCTTCTTCTTGTTTCGGCCGAGAATCACACACACACACAACTCACTTGAAGTTTCTCTCAAGAACTCACAACAACAACCTCTTATTTCCTCTCAAAAATTTCGAGAATCATAAGAGCTTCAAGGAGGATTTCATCCAAAAATCACTTCAAGTTATATACTAGTGGTAAGATCTTACAAACATACTTTCTTTATACACTCATTCACCTCTCTTACAACCTTAATCTCTTGATCATACTCCATAGAACTCATCAAAGTTTGAAGGTCCCTTCAAGAAGCTTGCTAAGGCCGAAAACCACACCATCTTCTTCCATTTCTTCTTCAAAACCGAAACCACAAACCCAAGGTGAGTTCATACCCCCTTGTTTTTGGTTTTTACTTGTTTTTGGGGGGAGAGTACAAGTGTTATGTGTTGATCTATGTGTGTTTGCATGTTATATGTGATTTCTTTGGTTTATGTTGTGATAATGTGTTAATACTTATTATATTTCGAGATCTATAGCTAAAATGTGAAAGATTCATAAACAAAAACATAATAAACAACATACATCATAGATCTAAGAGTCCTTAAGTTTAATAAGTGAAAAACAAAGCCAAAGATCTTTACAAGTGTCATTTTTGCAAAAATAACAAAGATTTGGTTGAAAGATGATAATTTTCGGTTTTATGAGGGTTATAAAGTATTTATTTATATAAAAGCTGATTTTTATGAAAATAATACTTTTCAAAGGGCCAAAAATATAAAATTTTGTTTAATGGGCTTATATTTGGGCCTCACGGATTTTTGGGCCCAAAATTTCGAAAATGAAGAATTTTGGGGTTGAAATTGTAAATTCATCAAAGTATGAGTCTAAAAACGCAAACAAACCAATTCAGGGGCTGAAAATGTCCTTTAATCCTAAATTGAGTTAAAAAATGTAAAGTTTTTGGATTTTGGACCAAAATTGTAAAACTTACGAAATTTGGGGCAAAAATCTAAACTTTTTACAATTAAGGGCTGTAAATGGCAAATAAAATATTTCAGGGCCGAATTTGTAATATAAGTTATGATCGGGTCGAAAATGCCAAGAAAGTGATTTAAGGACCAAAAATGTCATTTTCCATCAAAAAGGACTAAAAATGTCATTTCATTAAGAAAGGCGCTGAAAATGTAACTTTATGTGAAAAAGGGGCTGAAATGGTCAAATAAATATTTTGGGGTCCAACGTGCTAATATTTAAACAATTAGTCTCAGGATATTGAATTCATAACGTATGGTTTTAAATATATATATATATATATATATATATATATATATATATATAATATATATATATATATATATATATATATATATATAACCAAAGAGTCGTTATAAATCAAACATCAAGTATTTCAAATATCGCAAGTTAACACTAAGTGTAAAACAAATCTTATACTACAATTTATATCGACAAACAGATAAACGATTCAATGGTTGGTCCCAATATTTCCTACTCGTGCTTATTGGGCCTCCGTGACCCAATTATACGATTGTTGGGCCCAATATAATCAAAACATGTTTATTGGGCCTTGGTGACCCAATTACATGCCCAATGGGCCCTTATCAGCTTTAACATGCTATTGGGCCTTATTGGCCCATTTGCATTGCTAATATGGCCCTAAATATTCATCATATGCTTAATGGGCTATAATGTCTGTAGCATACTCGACAGCCTAGAATAACATACATGATTAATGGGCCACCGTTGTCCTATTTCGTGTCTGTTAGGCTTACTTCATATTCACGTAAACATCAATCAGGTTGTAAAACAATGTTATTCAATTTCATTGGGATTTAGTGAGAAATATTGGGTGGCACCAATAAGTGTCGGTCGTAGCCTGTAGTTATAATCAGAGTCTCCTGGAGGGAGAGTGGGAGTTTGTGTATAGATCTATACGGGGGTGACTCCCCCACACCTGAGCTATTCGCTACAGTTAGACTCGGCCAGTCTAGGGTGACAAAATCTTGATCAAATCCGACATTTAGAACAAATGCCAAGACAGACGAAATATTCATCATCATGCATGGTTATAACGACTCACATAGAGATCCGTTACCGTATCATCATTTTTGGGGAAGCAAATTCATACATGGTGGCCATGCAAAGTGATTTATGCGATAATAAAAAACTATCATACTATTTAAATCGGAAAACATCGGGTTTTCCGGGGAACGACATTATTCACTTCCACATACGACAACTACAATACAAGGAACAATTAGGAAAGTCATTCACTTTTACATGTTCTGAAATCACATACATATACACTTATGGGATCATCACATCTTTTTTGTAAACAGTTTTTGTTACAGAAAATATCGGATTTTCTGGGTTTTACAAACAATACAAACTATTTTTATATCAAACATGCTTATGAACTCACCAACATTATATATGTTGACCGTTTTCAAAATAACTTGTATTCTCAGGTAACCGTTAGAATGAAGAATCATCAAGCGTGTTTCTGAAATTTCTTTTATGCAATGTCAATCGTTAAACAATTTATGTTCTGTGATGTTGTAATGTAAACAATGTACTTGATGTGAACAAGGTCAGTTGTAATGTATTAATGCATGGTGATGTTTATGTTATGTTTCATGTATATTCATTGTGATGATATTTCAATTTAAGTCACACGAGCCCTCGGACGTTTCCGCCGTCTGGTTCGGGGGTGTGACAGCCGCACTTCGTCAGTTAGCATATGGCATTCCGCCTGATGCGTTAGACGAAACTTTTAGGATGTCTGCTAGGATCGCACGAGACAATCTCCATTTTTTCTGCAAAACTGTGATTCACTTTTATGGTCCAAAATATTTACGTAAGCCTACACGTAATGACATCCTGCAATTGCAAGCTCATCATGTTAGTGTGCATGGGTTTCCTGGAATGCTAGGAAGCTTAGATTGTCTCCATTGGGCATGGGAAAATTGCCCTACATCATGTCATGGGCAATTTACCCGAAGTGATCATGGTCACCCAACGGTCATACTTGAAGCAGTTGCATCACAAGATATGTGGATTTGGCATGCTTTTTTTGGTTCTCCTGGTTCGATTAACGACATCAACGTTCTTAATCGTTCACCAATATTTAACAACATATACGATGGATACGCACCAAATTCTTCTTTTGAAGTGCGTGGAACGCCATATAAGTATGGTTATTATCTGGTCGATGTAATCTATCCTGAGTATGATGTGTTTGTTAAATCGTTTACGTGTCCACATGGTTCTAGACGAAAGAAATTCAATAGAGCTCAAGAAAGAGCTAGGAAGGATGTTGAGCGTGCTTTTGGAGCTCTGAAGAAACGATGGTTCATATTGAAAAAACCAACAACTTATTTAGGCGAGGAAAAACTTCAAGAAATCATGTATACATGTCTCATATTGCATAATATGATTATTGAAGACGAAGGAAGAGCGATATGTGCGTTTGACGAGGAAGAAACCATACTAGAGACACAACCAATAGAA